AAGAGGATTAGGGCCACTGAAAAATAAAAAGTTAACTGATTTTAAAATTTTATGTCAGTTTAATAGAATTCTAATTTTTTTCTCAGAATTCTGACTCTAATCTTGGAATTGTGGATCTTAATGTAGATGGGCACCATGAAGGAAGAGATGTGGAGCACTCAGCTTCACTGACAAAGATGTGAGCTGTTTGAGGTGGCCAGTGACACATTGGTGGAAAATGACAGAATTAGGCAACTTTTTACATGCTTGATGCTAACATGTTTGTGATCTGTTAGAATTCTGAGAAAAAACTTTTTTCCCATGTTAAACTGAAATAAAATTTAAAAACCAGTTAGTTTTTTTTTTCAGTGGCCCTAATCCTCTTCCGTATATTAGTTAGGTAGTTACCTGTCAGGGTTATTTACTGTCACAGGTAGGAGCTTCGGCTAGAGAGTAAGCCGGCCCTCAGGAGCGGCCCATCTGAGTCTGGTTATGGGGCATTTTAGGCTAACAAAGAAACCAAACGACCCCCATTCCAAAGGGGTGGACCCGTTCATCCGTTTCTATTTGCATGTTTTCTAAACAGAAAAAAGGCTTTGTTGTGCTGCTGTATAAAACCTGGAACTCAATGCTATTTCTGACATTTTGAATTGAAAAATCTTCCTGGATGGAAGATAAACGCCTTCAAACTTGGAAACAAAGTCCAGTGGATTGTTGTAGAACTTTTTTGGACTGACTGTGGCCTGGATGACTGAGAACCTTCACCAGCATCCTGTGAGGTGTACCTAATAAAGTGGCCTCCTGTCGAACAGACTCTTCAGCTTACCCGAAAGGTTAAACGACCATTTCATGACCAAACTGCTTGCCATAAGCCGCGGATGCCGCGATTCTCCAGCGCGCGCGGGCTGTAGCGCCGGCTCCTCCTCCTCCTCCTCCTCCNTCAGCTTACCCGAAAGGTTAAACGACCATTTCATGACCAAACTGCTTGCCATAAGCCGCGGATGCCGCGATTCTCCAGCGCGCGCGGGCTGTAGCTCCTCCTCCTCCTCCTCCTCCTCCTCCTCCTCCAGGGGAAATGTCGCAGCAGCTCCTTCTCTTCTTTTTCTCCCAGCGGCCCTGAAATCTGCCGGATCCTTCAGCGCCGGAAGCGGCAGGATTCATCGGGACGCAGATCCTGGCCGCTCTGCCCTCCCCTCAGCGGAGGTGTTTAAACCCTCAGCCCGGCGCATCCTCCCTCCCTCCCTCCCTCCCTCCCTCTCTCTCTCTCTCTCCATCTCTCTCAGTCATCCTCGGTGTCTCTCTCTCCTGAATCCGCCGCAGAACTCCGCCGACCAGCCGCCAGGTGACTGCGCGGAGCCAAATCTCCATCAGCACCGCCGCCGCCACTGTTGTCGTCGTCTTTCATCCCCCCCTCCCCTCCCCCGGCTCCTTCGGACTCCAGGGGACCGGAGCTACCGCATCCCTGCATCCTCACCCCGCATCCTCTCATCCGGTTCGGGACGTTCTCCGCTCCACGCACACGCAGATTAACGGGGATTCTGCCTCCCCGCCCGGACTCTGATGCTGATGTCCTTGAGCTCGGCCTGCGCGGTGAGTCGGTGAGTCTGTGCGTGGCTGCGTGCGTGACTGTTATTTAGCCCTGGTTCTAATGGAGGATGTGTCGCTCATTAGTTGCATGCAGGGCGCAGGATGCGGGCGGCCTAATGTCGGGCTGTCAGAGGGGCCCATGGAGCGGAGCGCATCATAACCTGCAGCGGAGTGAGTGTGTGTTGGTGCGCATCCCAGCCCTGTCCTCAGTCAGAGGATGAGCTGCCATAACATGTTCACTCAGCGGCACTCTCTGTTCCTCACGCGCATCGGATGCGCTGTTGGTTTCGGTCCAGCGGCTGTGCTGAGCGGTGGGGGGGTTCGGCCGGGTCCGGGGAACCGGACTGGCTGCCCGGCTCAGGATGGCTGAGAGTTCCGCAGGTGGAAGGCCGGTAACCTTGCGGAGGAACATTAGGTTGGAGATGTGCGCCCTCCTCTCCTGGAAGTCTCTCTGCACTCAGCCTCCTGCTGCTGCTGCTGCTGCTGCTGAGCAGCGGCGCGTCTGAAGGTGACCAGCAAAGGTCGTTTTATGTGTGAAAAGCTCAGTGGGCCATTCCTGCACCGAGGAAGGATTTAGGTGGAGATCTGGAAGGATGGAGGAGAGAAGTCTGAGCTCAGCTCTCAACTTCCTTCCTTCCTTCCTTCCTTCCTTCCTTCCTTCCTTCCTTCCTTCCTTCC